CAAGTAGGTTTCAGGTATGGCAGCTAGTGTAGAACCTTCGGGCAGACTACTTAAATTAGACAATAACTAAAGTTGTATGAGTGGTTAGTTGTACACTCTTTCCATGATTGCCCCCTATAGTTGTAATGCAACCATTAGCTAAATGTACTATCAATAAAATTCTGGGTCACAAGTACTCACCTTAATATTTAAAAAAAAAAAAAAATTTATTACTAAAAATATATTATCTATTTATCAAAAGGTCTATTATATGTCTTTAGCTAAATATAAATTTATTTAATAAAAACTTCATTTAATGCTTAAAAGAACTTATATTTCTCAAAATTCTAAAGTCTTTTTCTATTATCTTAGTAAAAAAGAAAAATAATAAATTAAAGTTCTATATTAATTATAAAAAATTTGATAAAATTACCAAATATAATGTTTATCTTTTACTATAAATTAATGAAATTCTGATACTCTTAAAGTGCTAAATAGTTTTTCACTTTGAACTTGGCTAGTGGATATTGACAAATTAAAATAAAACTGCTTTTATTACCAAATATGAACTGTTTGAATTTAATGTTATGCCTTTTGGTTTAACTAATATATCTGCTACTTTTTAATAAATAATAGATAAAATTTTTTCTAATTTTAAAAATAAATATATTTTAATATATTTTAATAATACAATCAGATCTTGATATAATCACCAGGTCAGAAAACAAAAAATTAGTGATTATAAAAGTTGTGACTATATGAATATCAAAATTTATATGTTTTATATAAGCTAGAAACAAAAAATAAGGTAACTATATCAAGTTTGTAACTATATCAAGAATAACTATAACAAAATCTAACTGTATTACTATTTATTCAAAAACTTTTAAGAAAAATTTAAAACATCTAAAAAAAGTTTTTAAATGTCTTCAAAATGCTAAGTTAAAATTAGAAAAAGATAAATGTTGTTTTAAAAAACAACTAGTTTTTTTTAAACATATTATTAGTAAAAATAGAATTTTATCTAATTTATCTAAAATTAATAAGATTCAAAACTATTCTGCACTAACTAACCTTACTAAACTTTGAGGTTTATTTGTTTAGCTTCTTATTATCAAAGATTTATTTTTAACTTTTTATAAATTATTAAACATTTAAACAAGTTGTTAAAAAAGAATATTCATTTTATTTGATTTGAAACTTGTTAACAAGCAATAAATATCCTAAAAAAAAAATTAATAACTGCATCTATTTTTTAATATTCTAATTTTTAAAAACAATTTTAAAGTAATATAACAGATTGTACTTAGATATCATTAAAATAGCCAAATAATGCTAAACTTAGATATTAAAGATATTTATATAATTGCAAATATAATTTTAAAAAAGGTATTGCTATTGCCACCTCTATTTTTGCTAATGCCACCCTTTATATAGTCTAATCCTAATTAAGAATTAGGATTAAGAATGTGAAGGCTAATCAGATTAAGTAAAAGAATGGCATTAGCAAAATAAGGAATGGCAATAGCAATTTCCTTTTAAAAATCTTAATAAAGTACTAATGTGATTGCTTAAAAAAAAAAAATAGAAGATGATAATTCTAGTATAGTGATTGAGTTGTCATTTTCCAAACAATAAGTTCAAAGTTCAAATTCTACTAGTAGCAGAATTTTAAAAAATGATTTTATTTTGATAACTTAGACAAAATATCTGGAATTGTAACTTTGTATTTTGATTATATCAAGATTAAGTTTAAAAATATACAATATTAGACAAATAAATCCAAAAAGTATATACTCTATAAGAAGCTCTGTTTAAAAATTTCAAATAGAAAGATAATATGATCTTTAATAGTATTATTTATAAAAATCTTAATTTAGAAAAGAAAATCTTAAGCAGATAACTTGTATAATCAAGAACTTTTAAGTAAAAGAAGTCTATCAATCTAACTATCAATTGATCTAAGCATAAAGTTATATTATGTAAAACTTATTAGATTTATAATATAAAAGAACTTGCAAGAATAGATAAGATACTGATAAAGTTGTAAAAGTGAATATTGGAGTTGTATAAACTCTACAAGACCATAATGATTTAAAGATTAGTACTAATTGCAAGTATTAGTTTAACTATAGTGAGTTCAGATCAGCTGTAAATAAGAATACAGAAAGCTTTAAAAGGTTTATCTTAAGGATAAATTAGTTCTAAGGTTGAAATGAGAATCTAAGATAACTTAATAAAATTGATATAGATTATAGATTTAGAGAGTTTAAAATGAAACATTCAAGCAGGAATATTAGATATAATAACTTATAAAAAACCCTTAAGCAGACTTCTTAAATAGGTAATATAAAAAAGTTATACATGTAACCAGTTATACACTCTTTTTGTAATAATTTTTATAAAACTATATTATTTATAAAAGTGTTAATAAAGTCAAAAAACCAAAAAGGTCATCTTAATATTAAAAAAAAAAAAAATTTTTTTTTATTATATTACAATACTTTTAACTTAAATACTAAATATTCATTTTTATTCTAATTAAAAGTACCTAATTTTTAAAAAATTACTATAGTTTTAAATAAATATAAAAACATTTTTAATGAGTAAATAATTATAGAATAGAATTTTAATTAGTTTTTTTCTTTGCCTTTTTTATAAATTATTTTTATTTTTATTTTTTTTATTTTTATTTTACTTTTTATTTTTGTTTCTTTTATATCTAATTTTAAAATCTTTTGTTTTTCTTTTTTATAAAATGTTTTCAAATTGACAATGTTTTATTGTAATTCTAATCCTGTTTGAATTAATGCAGCAGGTCATATTTAGATATCATTAGAGTGTCAGATAATAACAGACTTATATATTAAAGGATATTGTAATTTATCGCAATAGCGATGTATCGCTACCCTTGATCGACCAATTAGAATGCAAGATCAGGTGTAACGTGAAATCGAAGCAAAACATTGTCTTTTTTCTGTAACTCAAGATTTTGCATATGAAACCACATCTTACGTTCTAATTAAAAAAATTCCTTGCAAAATTTTAGATTAAAAACTTTCTAAAATCACATTTAACTCTAGTCTAATGCTAATCCTAACCTTAAATTAACGCATTTGTATTATTATTTTGATTTAACGTTACACATGATCTTATAAGTGGCGATACATCGCATAGGCGAAAAATTATAAAATCCTATATTGGATAATATTTGTAATTGCAAATGTAAGTACAAATGGTTTAATAAAGTACTATTATGACTGCTTAAAAAAAAAAAATACTAAAAAAAAAATTTAATTTTAATACAAACTAAAATCTATATTTTAGTATTATAGATTTTCTAAAAAAACAAAATTTAAAAAAACTAAGTTTTTAACTTATATTCAAAAAAAAGTCAGAACTCTAAATGTACAAACTAAGTAAAACCTCTCTAAATGCACGGCATAGTCTGATCCCAACTCATAAGAGCCATATATAATCTACTCAATAAATGCACACTCTTTAAGTGCACTATGTCAAAATTTTTTTCCTATGGTCCCAACGGCAATGCATTTACGGAGTTCTGACTGCATATTGTAAATTATACAATTTTATAACTATTAACACCATATTAAAGTTTAGATAGTGTATATATTTTTAAATATACACAAAATTTGATTGTTATTTGCTAATCAGAGTAGATAAAAAAATTTATTAATTACTTTCACTGCAAACTTTTATTAAAAAATAATTTATAGAACAATTGAAAATTAGGACCTAAATTTCTCGCTTTTCATTTTCTAATCTTGTTTGTCTTAAATGTTATCTTAACATACTGTAACAGTATTGCAACATTAATTCTAAAAAAAAAACAAAGAAGTAGCTAACAATATACGATTTATGTTCCATTAAAGTGAATAAAAATCATTTGTGACAAAAATTTATTGTGAATTATAGAATAGTTTAAATCGATAAATAGCATCCAAAATCAGGAAATGACCTTGGTAATTTGCCTGGCAAATTCGATCGTATCCCGGATAGTAGATATAATTTCTTCCTCGTCAAAATGCCGCATAGGTGATTTATCAATATTTTCAACTTTCCGCCAAGAAAGGCTTTTAACGGAAATGAATTCTTCTTTCGAGAATTTACCTTTCACCTCTTGGCAAATGGTAGCATGGGTAACTTGAAATTCGCCATTACTTTGCATTATACAAATAATACAAGTTAATTCGAGATATTACATTCAACGTTAAGAAAATATATTTCAAAGCTCATTTACCTATATCTAAGTTTTCTAACAGTCTGTCTGACGCCGACACAGTCAATAAATTTAGAAAAATCTTTTTCACGAAACAACATTCCATCCTCACTATCGAGATATTTAACAGGCTGAAGATCTTGAATTATCTTCTCCAATTTACTATCAATATGGTGATCACATTGAGTTTTTAATAAAAACCTTAAATCAGGCCGTCGAGATCCGGATACGAAATCCATAATTGCTATTTGTTAAAGGTTTTTTTAAAGTTCGATAGTCTATATTCGTAATTAATGCTCCTCGTATATAATCATTACCTACCATGACGACGGATGTCTTTTACCGCTTTCGTTAATTCCCATAATCCTTTATCTGGATTCCAGTGTAATTTAAATTTTCTTTTTTTTTCATTATGCGTGTAATAAACAGTAATGCTTCCTTTATTCCCAATTATTGTTTCTGGTTTTGATTGTAATCTAAATTTCTTTTGAATTATGGACATTTTTTCAATGATTTGTGGTGCATCGTGTTGGAACGACGTACTTAGACGGAATTTATTGTTCCGTTCAAACCCGCACCAATCATGGATGTCAAAGTTTTGATCCTTAATCTTATTGATTCTGGTAAAAAGCTGCCGACCAAAAAATACGTTGAGACGTATTTCTTTTCCCTCTGGATATGTGGGATCGACATCAGAAAGCTTCGACGATATGACCTCTAAACATTCATCAAGTTTATCGGATGTTGTAAAGTCCCCAGTTTTGAGTGATGGAAGCAAAAGACCATGACGTAGCTGATTCGCCAGATCATCCATGACATCGGTCACTTTGGGTACCTTTTCTGTTTCCTGAATTCGTTCCACATAATATTTTTTCAAACTTCGTGAATGTTCATTACAGTCATCTTCCTTGAATTCAATAAATCGGTAATTGGCCTCTTTAACATCCGTCAAGTCATCTATCTCCAATAAAACGTAACCGATGGTCGGAATGACTGTTAATCTTTCAAGAGATTCTTGGATTAAAGATTTTGCCTGCCCACGCTGTAAGGACGTGCCTTGTACTTTTGCTATATGTCGACCCATATCTGACTGGATAAAAAAAATCTTTGCGCCAGATTTCTCTCTACCAAATAACAATTATGTATAATGGCAATGTTAATTAATATGTCAACTAGATTAATATGTTTAATATCTATTATGAACAATTTACTTTATCTTATTGATGTTAGCTCCTTTTTTCCCAATTAAAAAAGGAATCTTATCCGATGGAACGTAGAATTTTTCATCTTTACGTGTATCCTGGGAATTTGACATGGTTTTATAATTCGCAGGCTATCGTTACGAGTGAAACTTCAATTTTATTCTTCGTTTTTGTTGATTTTTTATCATTTCTTTAAGATTACGCATGTAATCAAATATGGTTTAAGGTTTTCCTAATGTGGTTTATCAGTCAACAATTACTTTTAATGAAAACAATGACGATGTCCGAAGTTGTAAATCACATGATTATAATGTATTTGACAATGCTGCGGTAAATAAACCGTGATCTCTTTGCTTAAAATATACAATTTACGATCACAAATACTATAAAATTGTACAATCATTTATCTAGTATGCCTAAAACATCTTCAATCCTGCTATATTTTTCGCGTGGCTTGTGTTTCTGTCTTCCTACTTCAAATTCCTTTTCTTCTATTTTTTTCCAATCATCATATGACACAGTGCGTATACCACGCTCATGAAGCATTGGTATAATTGCCTCTGCACCCCTTTTAGGGTAGTTATCAGTGGTATCAGAAAGCATCGGCTTATTTTGTTGAATATCTGAGACGATGATTTCTGCGGTTTCAAAAGCATCATACATTGTCGTAGAAATAACACCTTGTGGACCACGTTTAAGCCATCCAGATACGTAAAACCCGGGAAGCTTTACATATATCAGATTTTAATTTAAAATTTCACATTATCAAAACAGTATCGAGAATCATAATCGAAGTAGATTTCTAGAGCGACATCTAATCATACCTCATTACCATTTTTGTCCAATACTTTGCCTTTAACGTTAGGCACCAATCCTTTTTGTTCATCAAATGGCACACCTTCAACAGGTGTACTTTTATATCCAACACTCTTAAATACCAGACTAGTTTCTATTTCCTCCATAATGCCAGTGGAAACAGCTATCCGATTGTCCGGTGGGCCCTCAAGTTTATTGACGTGAAACTTAACCGCTTTAATAAATTTTGCCCGAGAGGGATCGCTAGTATCACGCGTGATAAATTCGGCTGGACTCCTCAAAAATTTAAGAGACCACGATTTTTCACCAATAGTGTTAGATGTACCACTTTCTAGGATTTGCATTAGGCGTTTCAAAGGACGATTTTGAGAAATAAGTTCCGCGTTTGCAGAAAGCTCCGTTTTCACTAATTCAGTGTCAGTAAGAAATCGAGTATTAGGTAAGTGCATCATCTCACGAAGTTCCTTGGCCGTGAAAGATACCTAAATTTATAATAAAAGCCAATTAAATAATTTTTATATAGCAAAGATTAGCCCATAAACGCGCTATTGTATTATCAAAAAAAAAAAAAACCTGTAAAGGTCCTCTTCTTCCGATAAGCATAACATTACGTATTCGACTTTTTCTGAGACATTCTAAAGCATATTCAGTAATATCAGTTTTGCTTAATTCATCAACATCTGTCAATAATATCCTAGCTATATCTAATGCCACGTTCCCCTGACCGATTATGATAGCACTGTCTGAGTACGTAAGATCAGGCCGTAAATCACGGTGTTGTGGAAGACCGTTATACCAGCCGACAAAAGCGCGTGCAGAAAACACGTTACAGATAGAATCATGCTCATTTTTAATATTAAGTGGTTTGTCCTGGCTAGCGCCATATGATAAAACGATAGCATCGTAATGTGATTTCAAATCAGCAATATGAAGTTCTTTACTAAATTTTACATTGCCAATGAAAGTAAAACGAGAATCACGTGCAACTTCATCAAATCTATTTTGAACGTTCTATTGAATAGGTTACTCACAAATACACAGACAGCCTTGAGAGCTCTGGAAATTCAACAAATACCTTTACTTCCGGGTGATCGGGCGCGACTCCATAACGAACCAGTCCAAAAGGTATTGGCAGTGCTTCATACATATCCACCAACGAGGATGGGTGTTCTTTTAACATATGATACGCTGTGTAAAAGCCAGCTGGACCACTTCCAACTATGGCTAACCGAAAGGACGCGGCGGGAGTAGGATCCGCCGAAGAGAATTTGTGGACTTTACGTAATAGATACTTTGACGAGATATTTTTACCATACTCGTAGTTCAACAATGGCCAAAATTTAAATGAAGGTTTAAATACATTAATACACCTCGATGTTACAAGGCTATACATTTAATTAATTAAACATAACGAATGGTCGGTTTTCTGTGCCAATCATTGCATATAGGATAGCTTCCTTCTGATTGGTCAGACATTTGCAGTTGTATTTATACACAATTCGTAAAAATTTTTTTTATATTATTTTAAAGTACTTTTTCAAAAGCTCACTTTACTTATCCTACTTTGAAACGGAAGTAGTACTCTAAGTAAACTTGAAGGCTTCGTGCAGTACTTTAATAATATCGGTTGAATCCACCTGAATTCAACAACTTTTATATACAGTTTCGCCTATAAAAGATATATATAAAATGAAGAAATGCATTAACTGCCAAGCCACTGAAGCCACCGATTCTTGTAGATTCCGTGTGCTGAAGAATAAAAAGTGAAAAGAAGCTAAAAATAACGGTTTAGTGAAGGAAACATGAAAAGAAGGTGTTATATTATGTAATCCTTGTTACATGAAGCTGGTACAAAACTCATTAAGTAGAAATCTTAATAAACCAAGAATTGTAAAACAACTTGTGAAGGAAAAGGCAGAAGAGGTAAGTATGTTAGCAGAAAGAAGTACTAAAATTGATCTTATTAAGACTATTAAGTTTATAGCTAAGAGAGAGCATGTAAAAAAAAAAGTTTTTTTATATGTTTTTGATAAGATGCAAGAATTATTTTAAAAAACTTATCTGATTTTTGAAAATTTTTTTAAACAGTTTTATTCTGCAGCTTAGCTACTTGAATATAATAAGCAAACAATGAGTATATGAAGAAATTGATGGTTTTAATATGTTATCTTCTTGCTTCTTTAAATAATACAAAAATTTTAACTTCTTTAAATTTGATCTTGTATTTTATTTAAATTTAGTAGAACAAGTAAAAAAGATTTAAATACAATAACAGGTCTTGGCATTATAACAATGTCATAGATAATAGGTTAGTGTAGAAGAAAGATATTAGAAGTGCATAAAAAATATGCAAAAAATGCATTTTTTCAGTAATTGAAGAATACACTTGTGTTAAATATTAATAATAATTATAATATTTATATTTTATAATAGTTTAATATTATTATTACTTCAAGAGCAGCACATATGGCAACAATTTTAATAAATTTGTGTTTAAAATCTGCAATATTGTGTAATGAAATTGTTAATTAAAGTTTATAAATAGTTATTTGATTTTTTTTTTTCTTAAGAGTTATGTTAATTTTTATTAAGATTTTAAAATTACATTTGCAATTACATAAATGTTCTTAACAACTAAGTTTAGCATTACTCAGTCGCTTTAATGGTATCTAAGTGCAATTTGTCACATTACTTTAAACAGAAGTAAGCTACTTGTCTAACTACTTAAAGTCTATAATAAAAGGATCTTCTCCTTTCTACAACAAATCCCAAAATTGTCATCTATATTTTTGTTCTAATTTGTTCTTTTTTTTTCTTATTTTTTTTTTTTTTCTTTTATCTTTTACTAATTTGTCTTTTTTTCTTTACTTGATCTTAGCTTTTTTTTTTTTTTTCTCTTTTTAACCTATCTATTATTCCTATTTTCCTTTTTCATTTATTAATTTTCTTATATTAAACTCTTCATACTTGTTTGCAAAATGTATTCTAGGTCATACTTGCTATTACATTTGCAAACTGCTGTCTTGACTTTATATTTAGAAGTTGCCATAATTGATTTTATGTTTCTTTTAGAATTAGGTTTTTAATTAGAATCTCTCTTATTCTTATTTCTTTTGCTTCTGTTTTATCAAAGAATATTATGTATAATATATATAGAGAGATTTGGTTTTTTTTTCTCTTTAAATCCCTTTTAGCTGTTATGATGATCACTTTTTGGATTTTTTTCTACAAATTTTTTTGACCTTTGTATACTGCTAAATATATTTGTGTTTCTTTAGCTTTATCTTTGCATACTTGGTATTTAGTTATTGTATATATATCTGGTTTTTTTTGTTAAATTCTTCTAGAGTTGAAAGTTTGTTTATTACACATTTTATAAATACACTTCTTCTAGCACTAATTTTTTTTGTTATATAGTATATCCCTTTCATCATCTTCAGTCTTTTTTAAAAATATATCTAATCATAAATTATAAATTCTGATTCTAGTTCTAATTTTTTAATTACTCTTGTTTCTTTCTATTTTGTTTCTAACCTTGTCTTCATTATTAATTTATATAACAAGCTTGCTAGTATGTCAGTTTATTTGTTTTCACACTCTAAGCAGTATTCTATTTCTTTACAACTGATTTTTTTAACTTATATTATCTTCTAGCTTATTGCTTCTTTCTTTGCCAAACTATTAGCTTTGTCATTCTATTTATCTTTATTATAACTCTTTATTTTAACTAACTTTATTTAAATGTTTTTAGTTATAATAAGGTCTTTGATCTTCATTATCAATATTGTGTTCATCTTTTTGAGGATCTTATTTTTATCTATTTGTTCTATACCTCTATTAATGTTTCTTATTGCTATATTATTATCTGTATATATTTTTACTTGTTTTCCTTTTGGTATTGTTAATATTGCTGTCTATATTGCTACTAGTTTAGCTATCATTGATGTTTGTTATACTTTTAGACCTATTGCTATTTTCTTATCTAGTTATTCTTGTGTTTCATTTATTTGGACCCATCTTATGCCTATTCTATTTTTAGTTACTGTATTTTCTTTGGCTTTTATATTTGTTGCATAGTCTGTATATATTATATACTTGTTCTTGTCTCTTGTTATATTTCTTTTTAAGGCTTCTATTATTTCTTAATTGTTACTTAATAATTTCTATTTCTAACTTCTTTATTGTTCTAATACTTTCAAATTCTTATTTTTCAGGTTTTAGTCTTTTCATTTTTACTGTTTCTGTTATCTGATTTATTGCTATATTAATTTTATTATTATTTTTTTTTATTAACACATCTGAAACTATGTTAATTTTGCTGTTTATTCTAATCTACTGTTAGCAGCTATTTTCTGTTTATTCTTCTGCTTTTGTGTAGCTCTTGTATCTCTTTATTTCAACAACTAATTTATCTTCTTTACTTTATATTTGCCAGTATTCTATTAGTATTTTCTTTTTTTTCTTTTTAATTATTTTTTTCAACTATCTATGGTTTTGTATACTATATATTATCTATTCTTTTTTTTTCTTATTCTCTAATATACTCTTTTATTTAATTTGCATTATCTATGTATTTTGCCTATTTGTACTAAAACATCTTTTGATCTCTCTACTTTCTGATTTACTAAGCACTTTTTGTTCTATTATTTGAACCAATCTGCTTTTTTTCTTTTACTTTACAGGCCTTGATAATTTTTTAACTATTGCTATATAACTAATCTTTCTTTTTTTATATCAAGCAGCTGATTTAGATATACTAAATTTTCTTTATTTATTCTAGTTCTATTTCTTTTTCATAGATCAGTATCCATAAACTTATTTATTTTAGTTTTATATTCAAACATTATCTATAAATTGTCTTCTGTTCTTATATTTATTTTTAATTTTCTTGCTTTTAATATTATTAAACAAGCCAGATTATTTCTCTAACTGTCTATGTTTTTTGGTATCTTTTTTACCTTTTATATGTTTTCTGTTAAGCTTGCCTTTTGGCAGACTTATGTTATTTTTAGTTTTGTTAACTTTTCAAGTTCATTTCTTCTATTTAATCTTGTTACTAGCTTATTTATTTGTTTTATTACTATCTCTTGTCATAATGATCTACAGTTTTCAAGATCTTTATATTTTATTATATAATTCTTCAATGTTCTTTGCAGATTACTTTTCTGCTTTGCCAGACTTATTATTAGTTGATGTATTTTATTTAAGCTTTTTTTTAACATCTTCATTAGTTGTAGTATATAACTTAATTTTGATATTATAACCATATTGTTTATATATATAATTTGGCTTATTTTTATTTTTTTGTATCTAAGATCTCTTATTGTTTGACTTATTATTCTTTTTGTCTTTTTCTTTACTAATATTTTATTTTATTTTATTTTTTTTTATAGTTAAAGTTCCTATTTTGGAAGTTATGATGTTTTTATTCAAGTATATTAGGACACAGCATGCCACCAGGAGCTCACCTTACATTGGAGGTTACAACTAGTCACATGTGCACTTTTGGTGCCTAATTTAAATAGTTTGCTTACATATTACTATATAAGTTCTACACTAGTTGCCATACCTGCAAGCCAACTAGAGGTCTTGCCTATTTAAACC